GCAAAAATTGAGGATTTCCAAGAGAAGGACTCTGGATGGGAACTGATTGAGGTTATCAATCTCACAATGAATATGAACAGATATTCACCATTAGCAGCGGGTTCGAGCACGTACATTCCATTACCGCGATGCATACAAACCAAAAGGGCCGTAGTCAATGTTAGGAACAGAGATGCAGTTTGTTGACTATGGGGGATCACAGCAGCACTGTGTCCGGTTACAACTAACACTGATAGGCTGAGCTCATATCCTCATTACTCTTTGGCTACTCTACCAGATGGAGTCACGAAACTTGATTATACTGGACTGGAATTTCCGATGAAACTTAAGAACATTCCCAAATTCGAACGAATGAATGGTCTGTCGGTAAACGTATATGGAATTGATAATGATAAAGATATAGTTCCATTATATTTAAGTAAAATCAAGTCAAGCTGGTCCAAGATTCATCTATTATTGATCTGTGACGATGCTCAGATTGAACGTGACACTGAACCAATTTATCATTTCACTTGGATTAGAAATTTATCTCGACTTGTTGGATCACAACTATCTAAGCATCGACATCATTTATTTTTTTGTGACCATTGTCTGAGCCATTTCCAAACACTCAAATCATTCGACAGCCATAAGGCAGATTGCTTTGCAATCAATGAATATCGAATGGTGTTGCCAGAAGAGGAAGCAAATATCTTGACTTTTAAGAATTATCGATTTAAAGAGATGGTCCTCTTCGTAATCTATGCAGATTTAGAATGCATTTTGGAGCCAAACAAATCTGAATCTTCATATCAGAAGCACGTTCCTCATAGTGTAGCGTTCTCTCTCCAGCGTGCTTTTGACGATTCTCGCTCGCATTTCAAGATGAACAGTGGACCGGATTGTATTGAATGGTTCATAGATGAATTATACAGAATAGCTAATGAGGTCGATACCTGTTTGAACATGAATGTACCAATGGAGCCCCTCACCCGTGAAGAGGCTTGGGATTTCGATATTGCTCAAGTCTGTCACATCTGTGGTAAATCTTTTACCGAAACTGATGGAAAACATCACGATCATTGCCACTTCACAGGCAAGTATCGTGGTCCGGCGCACCCTCAATGTAATATCAATTATCAAAATTCTCATACAATTCCAGTAGTGTTTCATAACTTCACCGGATATGACTCACATTTTCTGATCAAGATTCTCGCTACAAAATTCCCAGGCCACGTAAATTTCTTGCCTATTAATAAAGAAAAATATATCTCTTTTACCAAATATGTTGATGGGACAGTTGTTAATTTGCGTTTCATAGATTCCTTCCGATTTATGGCGAGTAGTTTGGAAAAATTAGCATCGTATCTCAGTGATCAGGATAAATCGATTACTCGAAATTACTGCAACGATGATGAAGAGAAATTCCAACTTTTAACGAGAAAGGGAGTTTTTCCTTATGAGTATATCGACTCTTGGGAGAAACTTAATGACACTCAGTTACCTCAAATCCCCGATTTCTATTCCAAATTGAATGATGAGAGTGTCTCTGCTGAAGACTATGCACATGCTCAGAAAGTTTGGAATACTTTTAATATTGCATCTTTGGGTGAATATTCCGATCTTTATCTGACAACAGATTACGAAGTACTTGTTTTTCCGTGTATGAACTTGATCCCCTGCACTATTTCACAGCACCAGGATTAGCATTTGATGCTATGCTGAAATGTACTGGTGTTAAACTTGAGCTTCTTACAGATGTTGAAATGCATTTATTCATTGAGAAAGGAATTCGAGGTGGATTAGCTCAATGCTCAAATCGTTATGCTCATGCCAACAATAGGTATATGGAAGAGGAGTTCAACCCTATGGAAGAGACCTCTTATCTAATGTATTTCGATGTGAACAACTTGTATGGTGCAGCCATGTCGCAATACTTACCATACGGATCATTCAAGTGGATTGATTCATCAATTATCGACGTGCATACAATTCCAGATAATTCAAACAAAGGGTATATCCTGGAAGTCGACTTGGAGTATCCCAAGGAGCTCTTTGAGACTCACAAAGATTTACCACTTTGTCCAGAACATGTTGTTCCCCCAAATAAAAAAATGGAGAAATTAATCACGACATTGCTCTCCAAAAAGAAGTATATGATTCATTATCAAAATCTTAAACAATGTCTGAAGTCAGGGTTAAAATTGATAAAAATTCACCGAGTACTGGAATTTAATCAAGCGCCATGGCTGAAACCGTCCATTGATATAACTACTGATTTGCGAAAGAGATCCAGGAATGAATTTGAGAATTTTTTTTTTAAATTAATGAATAACTCAGTTTTCCGTAAAACTATTGAGAACGTGAGGAAACAAAAAAATGTAAAANAATCTTAAACAATGTCTGAAGTTAGGGTTAAAATTGATAAAAATTCACCGAGTACTGGAATTTAATCAAGCGCCATGGCTGAAACCGTACATTGATATAAATACTGATTTGCGAAAGAGATCCAGGAATGAGTTTGAGAAATTTTTTTTTAAATTAATGAATAACTCAGTTTTCGGTAAAACTATTGAGAATGTGAGGAAACAAAAAAATGTAAAACTGGTCACTAAATGGGAGGGCAGGTGGGGAGCCAAAGTTCTCATTGCTCAACCCAACTTTCACAGTTTCACCATTTTCAACGATAATTTGGTCATTATTCAATTGAATCGCACAAAAATGTGGTTCAATAAACCTATTTACGTTGGTTTCTCAATTCTGGATCTATCCAAAATATTTATCTATGATTTCCATTATGAGTCCATTAAGAAAGAATTCGGTAATGAGGCTAAACTTATGTACACCGACACAGACAGTCTTTTGTATGAATTTAAAGGATGTGATATTTATGCATATATGAAGGAAAATATTTCAAAATTTGATACATCAGATTATTCAAAAGATAATGCATACGGAATGCCACTCGTGAATAAGAAAGTATTGGGACTTATGAAGGATGAATGCAATGGTAAAGTCATGAGCGAGTTCGTAGGATTAAGAGCAAAATTGTATACTTTTAGGATTCATAGGAATGAGAGAGCAAAGAAACGTGCCAAAGGAGTGAAAGGATCAGTACTGAAAAGGATCAAATTTGATGATTACAAAGATTGTCTCGATAATCATAATCATATTGTTAAGTCACAATATTTGATTAAGAGCGATAAACATGAAGTTAGGACTGTTGAGCAAAGGAAATTAGCTTTGAGTTGGGAAGATGACAAGAGAATATTGTTAACAGACTCTTACGATACTGTACCATACGGCTATTGTAAATAAAATAATAAATGTTTCCTTATAAAAAGAATCTTCTTTATTTACTTAGTTATTATTATAACTCATCTTCATTTATCCAACTATTATGAAAACGATCAAAACCTAGCCATTTAACAAAGGCTTTATTTCCACATCTTCGAAGGATTTTCTCTATGAGATAAACATCAGGATTCGTAACTCTCGTTAATTCCTCTTGGTAAAATCCACCTTCAATTGGGTTATCCTCATAATCCGTGAGTTTATAGGTGACAGGATTGGTTTTCACAACTTGACTTATCGTGAATATTTCCGTTGTCCAATTGGGCGTATATCCTTTCTCGAATACATTCTTGTATTTGCTGATGCGCACCTTATCTCCAACCTTAAACTTGATTTTTTTTGTATTATGAGTTTTGAGTTGCCCAAAGACGTGATGTAAGAGGTACTTCTCATGAGCGGCAGTAACATCCTTCGGTTTCATTTTAATTGTGCGATGCTTGGTGTTATTATAGGACTGAACTAAATTCGTGACAATGGGAATCCATTTGTATGTCCCTTCCAAACTGAACTGTTTCCACATTTTCTCCTTGAGCGTGCGATTGAATCGCTCACAGATGGATGCTTTGAGATTACTGAATGTTGAGTACATAGTAATGCTATAATTCTGCATAAGCCTTTTGAATTGACTATTGTAGAATCCTTTGCCTCTATTCACATGCAACTTCTGTGGGACACGGCGCTGTTCAAGTATGGACTTCATAGCACTGCTCACATCCTTTCCATTCTTCGTCTTCGTCGGTACACCGCAAGCATACTTCAAGAAGATATCGATTACTGTCAAAAGGAATTTATAACCTCCATTTTCACGATAATAGGCACTCATGTNATAGCACTGCTCACATCCTTTCCATTCTTCGTCTTCGTCGGCACAGCCCAAGCATACTTCGAGAAGATATCGATTACTGTCAAAAGGAATTTATAACCTCCATTTTCACGATAATAGGCACTCATGTCCACAAGATCTGCCTGCCACGTCTCATCCAGCCCGCGAACTTCAACACGTCGACGTGGATAATTTCGTCGAGCTGGTCTATGAAGCTCCTCCACGACTGTTGCCTTCTTGTTGTCCATTCTCCAATGCAATGAGACGTCTATCCAAATCACCTATTACTTCCGAGTTGCGTAGGGACAACTGCTGGTCAGTTTCTTCTTCTTTTTCTATTCCCCTCAATTGCTCATTTATATTTGAATATAAACCATCCAGCATTAACTTGGTCTCATGTGCAATAGAATCTTTTAGTGTTGTCAGTTCCTCAGTTATATGTTGAATGGTTCCAGAATGACTGTTCAGTTGTTCTTGTACTTCTTCATCACCAACATTCTTTCGTCTCATAGTCTTCAGAAAATTCATCTGGAACGATTGGATTATGGTTTCAATTCCATCAATTCTACCACCCATAGATCCAGTCACATTATATATGAGGCGAAGTTCCTCTTTCAACATATTGCGTATCATCTTCAAGGATATGGCATCATTATCTGCTTCAGGATCTGCTAAATTACATAATCTTCGATGATTCATATCATATTGTCCATCAGACGTAACCTTAAAGCCTTCATCAGGAGCACCCCGGCTGCCGATAGATCTGACAGCATCAGTGCCCAATTGGCGTCCGAACACGTCAACACTCATGTTTCAAATGATGGATTAGTTTGATTACAGTTCACTAAATAATAATACGAGCTTCACGTAACTCCTCCATTATTGACATGATTTCATTGGTGTGACTCATATTGCCAGCTGACTGTGAGGCCATAAGCAGTCGAAGTCTATCCACTAACTCATTAGGATCGTCCCAATACACATAGTCCATTTTTCTAGGTTTTACTGATGCAATCATATCATGAGGGAGGGCTGTCCCAGTTTTCTCCGATTTGATGAGATTTTCAATGATATTGCGATATTTCATACTGTGACCCGTTCGAAAAGGTCTGTCAGGTTTATAGTACATTCGATGTGCATTTGTACTCTTGATAATATTACCGTAGGTATTTTTATCAGTTTCGGTTATGAAGCTCATGTTAGGTGATTTCTTGAAGATCAATTCAATTAAACCAGGAGTCAAAGGATAGTCCTCACCCTTGAGGTTCATCGAATCTCCATGAAAAGTGACTGAAGAATCACCAATCTTCATACCGTTTTTGAAGTAACGTACACCCAATTCTGTATCCAAATCGCTTTTCTCACGATCTGTATCATAGCGGTCCAAATACGTTCGAAGAAGTTTTTGTGAGTCTATAGGAGAATCCAGTTTAGTTGATGAAATATGATCAGTTGGAGTCATTGGTGATATCTTTCTCGCAGGAGTGCTTGTATATCCCCAATCTGGATCAAATGAGGGCTCTTCCAGAGATTGATCTTGAGAAGGATCATATTGAGAGCGACATTGAGATGGATCATATTGAGAGTGATATTGAGAAGGATCTCCATAATCATAGCCCTCAGTTTTCAGCATCCGCATAGAAGTACTAGATATCTTCTTCTCTCCTTTCGTTTTATGTGAACGTTCCTTCGTTTGATCCACCAACTTCTCGAGAGGTGTTATCACTGGTTTAAGCACTTCACTCATAGCCTTCTCAGTAGTTTCTCTACCCAGTTTTATCATTTTATGCTTGCGGCGAATAGCGTCACTCGCTTGAGTAATATTCTGCAAGGTATTTGTCTCCTTCTTGAAACTTTCGCTCTGCATGTTGACACGAGTACGTTCACAGATGAACTACCTTTAGTTTCGTTGGAAAGGGCGTATTTATCTTTTCAAGAAACTGTCAAATCCTTTTCAATATCGACCGTTATCAATTTCACTATCTTTATCAATCATAATAAAACTGTATTTACTTTCATTCCAACACTTTGCACATAAGTCCTTGAATTCTGTAAATAACATATCAGTATTCACATGATCGTTATAAATATGTCTAAGATTCATATCATCTTGGCGAAAGAGAATCAGCAGATTGGTGTTATCTCGCACTAGATATTTAGGTACATGGGCATACGTTTGACAAAGATAGAAGCTATCAACATCCATATGTCGACCCATGCAGAAAAATGCTCGTACATTATCTTGTTTTTCACAGGCTATATCATCGAATATCATAATAGAATTCGGTCGAGCATCCTCAGGCTTAATGACATTATTATGCTCACTGAATGGAAAATATCCTATATCCTTGATGGGTGAAATTAGACTTTTGAGCAGCTGGTACTTGGGTTGATTGAGTGATTTTGAATAGACGTAGATATTCTGAAATCTTAAACCATTGGGGTGAACTATGAGTGCCAATAATGCATTTGTTTTCCCACAATTTGAGGGTCCACAGATAACTCCACGTACACTGTTAGGTAATAAAGGTCCATGAGGTGTTTTCTCATTTTTTTTGTTACGTGTCAAATTATCGAAATTCATTATTGGTAGTCTAGTCTTCTGCTCTTTGAAACGCATGGTCGATGACTGAACTTGAAATATAAAATGCATCATCATTTATAGATTTTTTTTGGAAACCTATAAATACTCGCTACTCAATTCATTATCAGCCAGTCCTTGTACAACCATGAAAGTGTACAAACGTAGGAGAGAACATCAAGGCAAAGGTTTAGTGAACAGTATCATTAATAAACTTCCTATAGAATTGCATATACCAGGATATCAGTTTCATGTACATGTACAGTACATGTACAACCATGAAAGTGTACAAACGTAAGAGAGAATATCAAGGCAAAGGTTTAGTGAACAGTATCATTAATAAACTTCCTATAGAATTGCATATACCAGGATATCAGTATTGTGGTCCTGGGACTAAACTACAGAAACGATTAGAACGAGGTGATCCTGGCATTAATCCACTTGATGCAGCCTGTAAAGAACACGATATAGCCTCTTCTGAGAACCGACATAACCTAACTGCACGACACGCGGCAGATAAAGTTCTTACAGAGCCTGGGAACGAGTCTCAGCTAAAGACGCAAATTTTGGTGAAAAAGCTGCCGCTTGGGGTATAGCTAACACTATGAAGGCAAAAACTTCTCTAGGCATGGGAATGAAACGAAGTAAAAGAGTCAAGAAAAAGAGGGGAAAATATCAAGGTGGTGGTGGGAAGAAGAAAAAAATAGCCTTGAAACAAATTCTACAAGCGGCTAAGACTTCTGTGCGTCCTGGAAGTGATGCTATTAAAACAGCGCTCAAGGGTGCACGAGATGCAGTTAGAAGTAAAGGTGGTAGGAAGCAGGTGCGGTTACCCCGCGTCTTACCTGTCCCTGCTAAAATCGGAGGTGTATTACCTTTCCTGATACCTTTATTTGCAGGTTTAAGTGCCACCGGAGCTCTAGCCGGTGGTGCAGCAGGCATAGCAAAAGCTATCAATGATGCCAATGCTGCGAAAAAAGCTCTAGGAGAGGATAAACGACATAACCAATCAATGGAGGCCATTGCATTGGGTAAAGGATTCTACTTGAAACCCTACAAGAAAGGCTTGGGTCTTCATTTAAAAAACGTTTAAAGCTACCACACCGAGCTCTCACCGATATCGACTTGGTAAAATACGCTAAGATCATGAGAATCCCATATTTTCGTGGCGTGTATATGAGAAACGACATGCCCATATCAGGTCCACGTAAAAATGAATCAGCAATTGTCAACCTTGATGATAAGGATGAGCCTGGAACGCATTGGGTCGCATACAAGAAACGAAACAATGAATTCATCTATTTTGATAGTTTTGGTAACTTTCATCCACCTCAAGATTTGATACATTATGTCGGTGTTGGTAGCATTATTAAGTATAATCATAAACGATAGTAAAATTATGATACAGTGGTGTGTAGGCCTCTGTGTTTAAAATTCCTCAATGGAGAAATGATATAAAATATGACGACATTACTCTATAGACATCAGTCAGATATCAACTACGATGAGTGACTCTTTTACGCTAACATTATCAGGCACTTCCTCAGTGCTGGAGGCTCATTACTTTCCTCCAATTGAATTATCTCCATTGAAGAACTACACTCTCGGATTGGCAGAATTATTAACATTCAATTCCATTCCCAATATTGACACAGGGAATAACAAATTTTATGTGGGTGAAAGAGTTATTGAAATACCCACGGGAAGCTATGAAATCGAGGATATTGAAAATTATTTGGTTGAGAAACTTGCGGAGTATAACATAAATATCAGCCTTAAACCCAACAATAATACTTTGAAAAATATTATTAAATGTACTCATCAAATAGATTTCAGTCGTAAAAATTTCATTGGACAGTTATTGGGCTTCACGCGTGGGATTCTCCCACCTCATATTAGTCACGAATCTGATTCACCAGTGACAATCCTTAAGATCAATTCACTGAGAGTTGAGTGTAATATCACCACTGGAGCATACATCAATGAAAAACAAGTGCACACTGTGCATGAATTCTTCCCCACTGTTCCACCAGGATATAAGATTGTTGAAGTGCCATCGAACATCATTTACCTTCCGATAGCGGTACAGGCAATAGGTCATCTCCAAGTGAAGATTGTTGATCAAGAAGGTCAATTGGTGAATTTCAGGGGAGAGATAATAACAATAAGATTACACATCAGGGTCTGATATGGGTATTGTTTTCAATACCAAGACTGGAGGTCGTTATAAGAGCGAATCATCATCAGCAGTATCGAGCAGTCATCAACGACCTCTCGAAGCGTTAACACGGCAGAACCTAAAATTCCTCAAGAGCTTGGGTCTGAAACTCCAAAAGGAACGAAAAAAAAAAAGAAAAGTGTGAGAAGGAAAATCCATAGTTTTCTCTGTCGTTGCATCATCATCTAGCATCGTAAGCCATGGAGGAGATCTTGAAAATTCAGCAGCCTATCATCTTTGATGAATCTATCGCCCATTACGAGATTCATGCACATCAGCCTTTTGCATCGGCAACATTCAATAACAATGATGAAATTCGCATTGCCGTTCAGCATCAAGACTTATGCCTGCTACCGAGTAAAAGTGCACTGCATGTACATGGACGCTTGACCAAAACCGATGGAGGAGCTGTTACGCACACGAGATTGGTGAATTGTGCGATCCTCCATCTATTTGAGGAGATACGCTATGAACTGAATGCCGTTGTGATTGATAGAAACAAAAATATCGGCATCACGACACTGATGAAGAATTATGTGTCGCAAACTCCCGGTCAAGCTGCTCTGCTGGAGAATGCAGGTTGGATCCTCAAAGACGATGAAGGAACAATCCTCGATGCTAGTGGCTACTTCGACATCTCCATACCATTGAGTATGTTGTTGAGCTTCGCTGAGGATTATGTTAGAATCATTGTGAATGCAAAACATAAGCTAATCCTGACACGAGGAAACACCGACGTGAATGCAGTCCTCCAAGCACCAGTAGAAGAAGCTGCTGCTGAATCATTTAGACTCTCACTGAATAAAGTGGAGTGGATGATTCCCTACATCAGAGTAGCCGATTCCAAGAAAATCAGTCTATTGAACTACATTTCTAAGGATGCACCAATTCCCATTAGTTTCCGAGCTTGGGAATCATAAGAATACCCACTGCTGCCAGCGACCTCTAAACATTTTTGGGTGGTGAAATGCTCAACTCAACTGGAGAAACCTCGCTATGTCATCATGGGATTCCAAACTAATCGTAAAAATCAAGCTAATAAGAATGCCAGTCGCTTTGATCATTGTAATATCCGCGATGTAAAGCTTTTCCTCAATTGTCAAAGTTACCCTTATGGTAATCTAAATCTTGATATCGATCATAATCAGTACGCTTTGCTTTATGATATGTATACAAATTTTCAGAGCTCCTACTATGGGAAAAAAACTGAGCCACTTCTGAGTAAGACAGATTTCCTCACCTATGCTCCACTTATTGTTATCGATTGTTCAAAACAAAATGAGTACTTGAAGTCCGGACCAGTTGATATTAGTCTTGAATTCGAATTTAACCGTAATTTCCCAGCTCAAACCGCAGCTTATTGCTTAATTTTACATGATCGTATTGTAGAATATCATCCGATTAGTGGAGGAGTAAAGAGTATGATTTAAAGAAAAGACCATTGTTCATATCGATTATATACATATATTTTGTTCTTTTACAATAAAAACAGTTTTTTTATACGACAAATGTAAATATGTTTTTCATTTCATTTCAAAGATATTCCTTATTTTTCTTGAATTTTCTGGGTCCGTAGGGACGAGGACGTTGTCTACCCTTCCCTTCACAACGATGACGTTTCACAGACGGAGCAGTATCTCTGATTCGTTTTACCGGTGTATTTGCATCTATTTTTGAAGAGCTGGCCCGTGCCTCTTCCACCAGATGATTTTGCTGTTGTTGTGGTTCTTGATCCTGTTGTGCAAAATGAGGGGTCTCTGAGGTGTCCCTCGCTGAGGAATTATCAACCGAGTCCGTCTGTTCCTCGTTCTCATCCATGTTTGATTCTCGACGTAATTTAACAATTTTATAATTTCCTTCCAAATCCAGGAAATCTTGGAGAAAATCCCAGGATGTTTGCGGGGGATCGTTACCGTAGTGATTGATAACAATATCATCGTACTCACAGACATATGGCGCAATCGACTTTAACAAATGAATTTCATCACTCATCAACTGGACATCTTTTTTATTTAGCCCAATCCGTAAACTCTTAATGAGTGCCAAATTCTCCTTCAAATCCAGGAAA